TAGGAAACTGGATTATTTAAATTAATCGTAATATGAAAATTAAATTAACGTAATACACCACAACAGCAGTGCGACACTGGAGACCTGTCAACGTCACGTCAAATACCAACGCGCGCCATTTTAAAATGCAGATAACGAATCAGGGTAACATGAGCCGCCCTGAGGCGCCGCGGCTTGCTGATTTATTTCAAACCCGATATGATTTTACCGCAATTGAGCACCCTAACATTTACTTACTACATTTTAAACTTGAACCGTCCAATACCTACCTTAAGTCGCTATACATAGCGTCTAAAATTCCGAAAACATCATAAAACTCGACTCAAAAGAAAAGCAAAATTTATTATAAACTTGTTCATAAAAAAATCTTTATTTTAGATTAAGATACACGACCAATTAGGCAAAGACACTGCAAGCGTTTGACGAAGTATAATGGCCCTTGTCTATGGGCCTGAATGGGCCACTCAGTCGGTGTCGAATACCTCTCCACATTGAAGATGTCGGTGCAACGTGCTAAATGCATATCGACGTGCATCCACCACAATTGTTACCCTTTTGATAGTTTGCCATTTTTTATTATACTATTTACAAAGTAAACTAAATGCTGCCTATATTATATTATCATTGAAAAACACTAATTAGTATTAAATTATACCGTTATGATCACGAAACGTACAACATGTTTAACTTAAAATTCATATTAATTACTAGCTGAATTCAACCACACATATAAATTAAATCTCAATAGCCATAAAACTTATCATCATAAATTTATTGAATATAATAGTAAATAAATAAATTATTTTACTAACGTTTAATACCAGCATAAATAATACCATTCAGAGACCACATGTGAGCCACTAAAATAAAACAACGAAATAAAATTGGACACTACCAAATTTTAGCGCTCATTTTGAGTTTACATAAAATTTAGGCCGACCGCTGAATATTATGCGGAATTCGGCAATATGAAAATAGTGGTGAATGGTAAATTATCTATAATATATTAATAAGTGTCATCATTATTATTATGAAGATAAATTAGCTTTAAATGGAACTCACTGTACTCTTCGTGAAAATTGATTAGACATTAAATATATACCATTAAATTAATTCAGGTATAGAAATACCATAGCTTACTAAATGATCAATTCTCTGATACGTCAGGGGATAATCACGGGTATTTATCCATAAGAAAACGTCCATCACGCTAAATTTGGATATATATGGATCCTTTGCGGTTTAATCGTATGAGCTCGCCCTGAGGGATGACCGGTCATCAATCTCTATCAGGCATGGGTGAAAAAATGCAACCTCCATGGGACACTCAGCTGATATGGAAATAGAAACAGATCGCAGTAAAGTGGAAATCGAATTTAGAGGAAATCAATTCAATCCCTTACTATGTATCTATTTGATTAATAAATAAAATAAATAATATTTAACAATATTTTAAGTCCTTCAGGAAATGAAATTTATCTAGTTTTATCTAGTTAATTGTACTTTAAATTAATTTCACTTGAAGTTAAAAACTATGATATACATACAGTTCGCGTCAACTGAAAAGTTGATTTATGATCTCTTCAAGTTAATTATACAACTTAAAAACCTTTACGGAAGTTTAGCAAATCGCAAGTTGTTTATCTGCAGATGAATTCTACTAAAAACCGTAACTGTCTATGGACCTCTTGGCAATTTTAATCAACTTCATATCTTCTACTAATTACTGCACACTAATCATGGCATGTAAAACTTGATTTCCCTATTAAAATATTTTTATCATGACTTCATTTTAGATTTACATTTTTTTTTCATATATAGATATAAAAAAAAATTAACCAGTTTGCTTTAGACCACCCAACTGAAGTAAAACTTCTTTTGCTCCATTTATATGTAAGATTTATGTGCATATGTTTATATATGTATAATACAGAGATGTATATATGTACATATACAAATATTAATTTTGTACAGATATATGAATTCATTTGGAGTTATCATTTAAATTAATATTTTTAAATAGTTATTTCTTTAAATTTATTATTTTCATTATATTCATCATCGGAAACATCAATAATTACTGTGGTTGATTGTAAGACCGAAGATATGAGAAATAATCTTATTTATGTTTTCGAATTAAGTTATATGTAATATGTTTTCGAAAAGTCAAGCGCGCCTAAAAAATGTTTTACTTCAAAAACGGGATTTTACTTTTGTGTTTCTAACTACATAAACTTTAGTTATTAATTCATGCTCTAGAATTCAAGAACAAAATTAACCAAAGCTTGTTTTCTAAAGTAATGAGCAATCATTCAAAGCATTTACCAAACTGGAGAAACAACCAGCGACAAATGTTAGAGACTCTCCCTAAAATCAGTATAGAAATCAGTCACGGCTCCAGCTACTGTCTTTTCTGAACATCTAATTTTACCACCCTATTTTCGTGAAGCTCGCATATCCGTCAAACGATTTCACTGCCCACTATCGAAAGATTCAATGAATGATAACGAGCCTAATAAATACTTCCACTCCTCGAATGACCGTAATTAATTTAATGGATTTAGACAAAGAAATATGTACAATGAGATAGTAAGATTAATTCTTTGTTTTGACCATTAGTAGACGTTGAATCTTGGTGTTGGGTTGCGTTGCGTAATGGAAGACGATGGTTTTTTCACAATTTCCTCTTAGACTCTAATGAAGGAGAAACGTCTAACGAGCGAGGTTGCTATCCTTATTATCAAGTCTGTAATCTCCGTTTATTTTGCTTTGAAGTTTTCGATATCGTAAGATAAAATTGTAAATTGTTGGAACTTTGTTTTAATGAGAATTAAATTATTTCAATTACGTTTATGAATGTCGGTATTGCAAGTATTATAGTGAACCTAAAATATAAATATGTATACCTACGTAGTTTTTGAAACTTAGGTTAGGATAGTCGAAAAATATTATCTACATACCTTATGTCATGTGAATGTTATATATATTTCTATTTCATGAATGTTATTACTATTTTATGACCATTATGAGTGATATAAAAAACATTGTTTTCAGTGGAGAGTGACGTCCATTCCCTATATCTAAAATCGTGACATAAATTAGTGCGCCAGTCGCGTGACGTACAGACTTAAGCAACATCGTCTCCTTATCGCGCCGGAAACTACCCGACTTCATTGAAACAGTCAAGCAAAAGAATACTTTAACCTTCCCCTGGTAGGCTTAATTTCCTATACTACCACATTTACTGAAACGTACCAGTTAGGGTGATTTCAACTCTATGTTTAGAAACAAACGATCTTAAATTTAATAAAAACATTTTGCAGTAAAAGAAAATAAGGCAACATTGCCATTATGATGACATAAATAAAGTTGAGTGTCCTTTAACGAAGCAGAATTTGACGTCGCGATACTAATAAAGAGCTGAGTGAATAATATGTACTCTATTGTTTTAGTAACAAGATATAAATTTACTTGTTAAGTCGAGTGTAGCAATGAAGGCTCACGTTTAGCGGTGGTTGTGGTAGTGATATGGTTGGACTTCCTTTGTCTAGTAATCTTATCGTTGCACTAGGCGGCCATAGCTTGACGTGATATATTGCACCAACTCTTGATTTACATATTTTTTACTATAAACTTTTCAATATTGACTATAATGATTATTTTACAAATTACTATGTTACTATTAGCTAACTTACAAACTATTACTTACTATTACTTCTTTCTATATTTAGACTAAACTTTAGTATTGAGTGTAACGAAAGTTCTAAAATGCATCTGTCAGGACTAAATTAACATTCCTCTCACTTTAAATTAAACAAGACTTTATTGCCGTTTGCCGTTACTGAATACATTAGTAAAATCTATAGTTAGGTATATTTTTTGTCACCAGTTTACTTTCTTTTCTATGACGATCTTTTATGCAATCATTACTAAATTCATAAGACTAAAAGGTTGACATAACATAATAGTCCAATTGGGTCATTAATAAAAATAATCAATTTATATAATACTACCTGTCAGGTTTCCTTATTCCAAATACTACTTTAAATAGACGCCATTGAGGCTTAGCAGATGAAAATTTTTGCTAAAACATTTTATTGATAGAAATTTTCTTAAGATAGAGATCTGTAGGAACGAACCTCTTGTTTTACCAAGATCCGTCCCTGCCGATCTGATCACAATCTTAAACTTTTGAATACACCTCTTTCGACTATCGAAAAGTTCCCCATAATGGATTTGAGCGAGAACTCAATTGTTTCACGATGAATGGGTACTAATTAAAACGAAGTCATGACGAAGCCGGCCCAAGTTTCCAATTGTTCCGAACTATAAATCGCAGCTCTGCTCTCTCATATAAATATGCGTTCAAACTTCGGTGCTAAATTTAAAATCGGTAATTGAAGAAGTATGTGATATATATAAAGTTTTGCATATTTATATTTGTTTAACAATGTAAAATAGTCAGTACAATTGTTCTCTCCCATGTAGTGAAATTTCCTAAATATATCTGGATATAAACTGGTTTCGTCTTTGTACGATGCATCTTTAAGCTGGAGCTATGTTAATAACGTGTTAAAGGACCTATTAACATCTCATAAATTAAGTGTTGTAGGTTTAATAAATCAAGAGTTAAATCAAGATCACACAAATATATATTTGCCTTTAAGCTAGTTACAATATTTATTTTTAAAAATAAGTAATGGTCTTAAGTTATCCTTTATAAAAGCCGCAGGTTGAAAATTACGGCTGCTGCTTTTCTATTTTCAATAAGAAATCACGTTCGAGCTAGCTCGGCTCAACCGCAAATGAGCCGAAACATGGCCATTTTATCCCGCTATGTACCTATTTTTACTTATCTAGCTTTGGTTTTTATAAGAAAAGGCTTTGCCAGGATAGGAAAACCACATGGCTCGAAAAGATAAAAATAAACGAACCGGAATACGGATAGTAGCATTTGCTTGATTATGATCCGGTTTTATGCATATAGAATATGCATCAATATGGTCGGTAAAACGAGACTGGTAGATTTTTAACTCGATTTTTATACCATTAAGTGCATTAGATAAACCAGAATAGAGTTTTCAAAGGCAATTTGAAATGTAGCAAAAACTTTGTTGGAAATAAAATCCCAAGACGATATTCAAAATCGCGTTCCCTTTTAAAGTTGAGACGATCCGGTTAACGAGTGTCGAATTTCTCGAACTCTAAGGCCCCTTTCAGAAGACGAAGTGTCCCCGGGAGGTGCCGCAGTAATTACCCACCATTACACACAAAAGACACAACTCGTCCGATTACCATAATTCCCACTCCCTGAGTCACAATATAAATGGACCGCATTTTGTATTAGGACGTAGAGTGACGTGTGTATTAATGGCTATACTTGTCCTCCTAAATTAGGTAAAAGTGAAGCGATTTAGTTTTTCAGTGGCGGGAACTACATATTTAGTATAGGATCCTACTTTCCATATAAGTTTATACTGTTACGAGTCACAAAATAAATTGCCTTGTTTTATCCCCGCTTAGAATTTAATGTATGCTAATGAGAATTTATGCAATAACAAACAAGCTTAAGTTTGTAACAAAGCTTGTCTGTTGCTTTACAAAATATCGCTTAATGTTTTGTTACATTATATTAGCAAAATGTATCTTTATTCTTTATTTACATTTTTAATTATAAGATAATAATAATAAACAGATCCATTTTCAGATAATAATATTATAATATTAATATTATAAATTTTCTGGGAGTAAAGAATAAATTTACCGCAGGGAGTAGATTCATTACTTTCCAATTATTACTATAGAATAGATCGCTCAAAAGAGATCGCGACAGAGAACTGGTATTATTATGGAGAATTCAGCTTTCTTTCGCGAAGTAGAGGGCGATCTGGGAAAAAAACAACACAAAAACCCTTTTAAAATTAATTGAGTTTTCTTGCGGCTACATCGGCCGCTACAATAAATTAATTAACGCTCGAAGGAATCCTTAAAATTTGTCGAGGATCAAAAGTTGGCTGGCGGTCGGGAGATAGGGTGGTGGGGTAGATAATGCTTCGATTTTCCATTAACTTATATTAGCGATGGGAGAGGCAGCCGCGCCCCGCGGTTCAGCGAATAGCTCCCGATCTAATATATTTCCTTTATTAACTAACTACCGAAACACGCAATCTTTGATCCATTTCCATAGGCCGCTGTTCCCTATTTGTTTACAAGCTATTAGTGAGATTTCCTTATAATTTAATAAAGAAAAGATACTTGTTTATCAAAGCTAATACATAGAAAAAATCCTTTTTTTTTCAAGCCGATAATATATTAGAAATTGAAATACGTATTAATAACTCTTATTCTAAGATTAATATTATAAGAAACAATATATGTACCAAAATAATAGCTTAATATTTGTCAAAGTTAAATAAATATGTGGTTTATTTTTAGGTTGTTTGCTCGAAGGTGCACGGCCTCCGCCAGATGTCCCTCCTCGAAATCCAACTATGTCACGCTTAAACGGCCGCATCACCGGCAACCCAGCTGATTTAGGTGATTTTGAACCTTCGTGTCTCGTGCGCACACCTTCTGGAAATTTCTACGTGCCTTCAGGTTAAGATTAATTTACATATGATATCATTATTATTTTAATGAGAGACATAACAGAAGTAGTTTTTTTTTTTAACATAATAATCAATTTAGATAATAATAAGGCAATATTATTTCTCTTTCAGGAGACATTCAGAAGAATCCGTCTATGGATTACAAATCAAATTCATCTTGCAGTAGTCCAGGAAAACAAGAAAAGGGAACTTTGGAAAGAATGGATAGGAGCGACCGGCACCCCGCTTTCGGCGCTCCAGTGCCCGTTCTTCCTGTGAGAAATAACCTTAGGGCAACTCATTTTCCTCCAGCCGCTTCCCGTTTCCATTTCAGAAAAGGTTTATCGTCCAGATGTTCTTGGAAATGTACAGCTGTGGTGTTTATAGTTCTATTTGTTCTCTTACTATCTATTGCCTCTTATATGTCAGGTATGATATTAAATTAATTAATGTTAATTACTATATTTTAAAAATAAATCACTACAGAGTTTTTTCTTTCAGCATCCTATTTCACTGACAACTGGTCCTATCAAAATGCAAAGCCATGTTCAGTATTAGTTGGCGAAACTGCAGATAAGTTTTCATCATCCAAAGCAACGACACTTGAGTCAACTAATAAATCAGTTACAAGACCACACCCAAGTTCTACGTCTTCTTCAGGTAAAAGAGAATTACAATCACGTCACCGTAGAAGTGTAGACGGGCATGCTTCTTCACCTTCTATCTCTTCCACGGATTCTTCCTCTGTAGATATGCATGAATTAATCACTTTACCCTCTTCGACCACTGTCAGCTTAATGCATGGTGTGTCAGAGGTATCTATAAATCAGGAAGCGGAAGTTACTGAGGGTGCTTTCAATGCTTATGTATCTAGCAGTGTCACTGATAGTAGTAATACTGATAATATAACTTCTAGCAATATCACAATTAATAAAATGGTGAGATCTACGCAAAATTATAAATCTACATCCTTGAGCACAGTTCAAAAAAATCTATCAAACGCTCCCACTGTAAGCACTAAACCAATTAACACGAAAAATGAAGTCGGTGAACCCCTAGAAATTGAAAGTAACACGAAAAATAACATAGCTTATGACCCAAAAGACATGCAAGGTGACGCATTTCCTTCCATTTTATCATACGGTTTACAGAAACTTCAGTATACGAAATTATTAACAAGACTAAATGAAGTTAGTGAAGAGTTACACATTTTCTCCAATGAGTATTCTGAACCAGAAAGGAATCTTAGAAAACTTCATTATGATAACGGTCGAGACTCATCCTCTGAAACAATAATGACAACAAAATTTGATTCTAACAAATATCAAACTTCAAATTTGATATCAGAAGGAACTGCAAAACCAATAATAGAAACTGTTTTCACCACGCACAATACCTTTTCTAAGAATGAGCATGTTGATCCAATAACTACTTTACCAAAGAGTGTGACTAACAATCCCAATATTGTAAGTACTAAAACAGCAGCCACAACAGAAAAAGAGGCTACAACCAGTAATGAACTCCCTTTTGTAACTGAATCAAAAACTTCAGAAACTGTGTCTAATGCTAAACACGTTCTGATAAATTTAACTATTTCTGCAGATGATGCTAACAATGATTCATATAAACCTCTATATTCATTGACAGTAACTGTGCCTACAGTTGGTGATTCTAATGAAATACCGACAGTAAAAATTACACCCTTGGACACTGAACCAACCATACCTACAAATTTCAACAAACCGATATCAAATCATAACACAACAAAAACGACAAAAACGATTGAAACTGAAGATTGGGGAGGAAGCTGTGAATGTTCATGTCCGGTTTGCGATAGTAGTAATTCTTCTGATGACTTTTATGATGATTATGTAGATAAAACAACACATTTTAAAGAAAATACAGAAGATTTTTCAAGTACATACCCTATTGACAGCAGTACAACAACAGAAGAAAATATAAGGACTACTGATGATGCATCGTCCGAATTCACAACTCAAAGAGAATTAAACGATTTTTCTACGACAGATTCTGTAACTGACTTTGATTTAGCATCAAAAGATATAATTCCTGATATTTATTTATCAACAACTGATTCAACAATAGCGTCATCGACTGAATCTGAATTAATTTCAACAACCGATTTTTCAAAATGCGTATGTCCAAAAATAAAGCCCCCACCAATCCTAATACTGGAAGGTGAGGTCTCTCAAATTTGCGTTTTTAAAATAATTGACTAACGTTCAACACAACCATTTCTTTAGGAGCTCTGGAAATTACTTTGGTGTTTAACAAACTAATACGCATGTTAATCTGTAATAAGGCACTAAATTAAATACTGAATAATAAAGTATCATAGTGAATATGTAACTGGCATGTGGTTTTTTATAGTAGGAGTAGTTATCATAGTATCATCCTTAGTTCTTAAGGCGCTATTTATATGAAAATATTTAATATATCACTTGTAAGCATGAAATAATGAATGGCTTCTATTTTCTTATAATATGATATGACAAAATTACTAACGCATGAAATATTATAGGTGCGCGAACATTCCCAGCTCAGTCTTTCCCACCAGATGGAACAACGTTCAAACAAATAACTTTAGGTGAAAAGTTATCCAAAGAAATCCCTCCATATAGTTACTGGAATATGCAATTCTATCAATCGGAAGCTGCTTACGTCAAATTCGATTATATGATACCTAGAGGAGCATCAATAGGTGTATATGCCAGACGAAATGCTTTACCAACACACACTCAATATCACTTTTTAGAAGTGCTAAGCGGATTTAAGGCTCGAACGACTAGAGCTTCACATGTAAGTTTACGAAAGTCACACCATTTTGAAATTAATTTATTCAGTCTATATTATATGCTGACTTTTAACTTTTTTATTTATATGCTTAATATTGACAAGTTTTTCTGTATTTAGCCATCCGTTAAGAAAGAAATAACGCACTATATGGAACAAGGTCACTGGTTCCTTTCGCTCTACAACGATGATGGCGATCCTCAGGAGATTTCATTTATTGCTATGGTCGCTGACGATATGACACAAAACTGCCCAAATGGATGTTCCGGTAAAGGAGAGTGTCTCATGGGACATTGTCAATGTCAACCCGGTTTCGGTGGTGATGACTGCAGTGAAAGTAAATATAAATTAATTTAATACTTACATATATACTGTCATTTATTTAATATTAGTAACTATGATATCAAATATGATTAATTAATTATACAGGGTGACTGGTGAATTACTATCAATATTTAAGGAGAATACTCGGTACATAATTCTCATTCCAATTATGTAAAAAAAATAGTTACTTAATTTTTGACCAAATTTCCGTATAAATAAATAAAGTGTGGACACGTTCCAAGTGTTCCGCGTGTGTGTGTGTGTATACCTAATCTGTAGGGTGTTCACACGATGCGAAATTAATTACATAACTTTTGGTTAACTTTACTTAGAAGTTTATTAATATTTATGTTATATTAATTTTTATTTTGTCATATATGATAATCAAATATCACGTCCTCAAGTATCGATAGTAATTCACCAGTCACCCTGTATATGTATATATATTCTAAGACCATCAATAATTAATTTAATTTCTAAAAACATTTGCTAAATATCATGTCCATAATTTTTAGGTGTTTGTCCGGTATTGTGTAGTCAAAAGGGAGAGTATATCAATGGAGAATGTCAATGCAATCCCGGCTGGAAAGGTAAAGAATGTTCATTGAGGCATGACGAATGTGAAGTGCCTGATTGCAATGGCCACGGACACTGTGTAAATGGAAAATGTTCATGCGTTAGAGGATATAAAGGAAAGTTCTGTGAAGACGTTGACTGTCCACACCCAACCTGTTCGGGACACGGATTTTGTATTGATGGTATTTGTGTCTGTAAAAAGGGTTGGAAGGGCTTAGACTGTGCTACAATGGATAAAGACGCTCTTCAGTGTCTGCCAGACTGTTCAGGGCATGGAACATTCGATGTTGATACTCAAACATGTACCTGTCATGCTCGTTGGTCGGGCGACGACTGTTCCAAAGGTACGGAAACCAAATATTGTTTAGGAAAATTAAAGTTAAAACTTGAACTATTGCATTTGTTCCATATACTAAACACTATTTAATTTACCATTTACAGAGGTGTGCGATCTGGACTGTGGCCCACACGGTAGATGTGTGGGTGAAGCTTGTGTGTGCGACCAAGGTTGGACAGGAGAGTATTGTACATCGAAACTATGCGACACTCGATGCAGCGACCACGGCCAGTGTAAAAACGGCACTTGTTTATGTGTCTCCGGCTGGAATGGAAGGCACTGCACTTTAGAAGGATGTCCGAGAGGCTGTGCTGGTCACGGTCAGTGTCGTGTAGCTAACGATGGACACTGGGAATGCAAGTGTTTCGATGGATGGGATGGACCAGACTGCACTACGCTCAAGGAACAAATATGCGACGACTCCAAGGACAATGACAAAGGTATAAATAAATAATAATAAATAGTAATCTTTTCAAGTACCTTTAAGATTTACAATTATGTATTTTAGTAATAGTTGTGTTTTCCGACGTTAATAACAATAGTATGAATTGGACAAATAATAAGTAAATAAAAATTTAATTTCTCATTAATTTGAATGTAGATGGTTTAATCGACTGTGAAGATCCCGAATGCTGTCAAAGTCCTGCATGCAAAGGAAGTCAACTCTGCGTTTCTTCTCCTAAACCTACGGACATTTTACTAAGAAAACAACCCCCTGCTATCACAGCATCATTCTTCGAAAGAATGAAATTCCTTATTGACGAAGGTAGCCTTCAAAACTACGCTAAGCAGGAAACTTTCAACGAGAGGTGAGGATAAGTGTTCGATGTACGATGTTAGAATAAAGCTATCTGTTGTGGGGTCAGATGTTGTTTGTAAAAATCACAGAAAGCACTTGCGAACACCAATTGACCCCAAATATAATTAAGAAACGTCTTAAATATCTATATATAAGATACGCAATGTTGTGCCCCAGTCAATCCTACGTTTTTAATTTATATGACAATGTAATTCTTTTTATTTTTATTTGTTCCTACAACATCAAACATTCGACTAATTTCATATTCCTAAGCAAACTAACAATTAACAAAACAATAATATAATTGGTACCTGCATGAATGTCTGTTACAAAAAATAACATCCTTTTACTAATAATTTATACATTTCTTCTTCTAAATTACTATGTCGTATCCAATTAAACTCATTTTATGTCATTTCTCGTCTTTCTGCTGCGCAGTATGTTTTGGAACCACTTCAACACGAGGTAAGAAATAGTAATTTAGGTAGGATTGTGTGTGACCTTGAGTTTAGATATTAGAATTACCCTAAGTATATATTTATAAGATACCTTTAATCTACTTAATTGGCAATATAATATATTAAGTGTAAATATAGTATGCATGATCTTTATGTTACCTTAACGTGTCCTGTGAGTTTTGTGTTACGCTTTTTATTTATAACTGTATATTATGAAGTCTATGTAGATTTTTTATATTTATCCTAACAATACGTAGAAATTAAAAACTTTTCCCATCCTTTAGTGAACACAAATTTTTCAAACAATACAAAATTTGTAATTTTTTATTACACAGAAATCTTTGTATCTACATAACGTAATATAATATAATGTCCTTTTTATTTAAAATTTGTAGGCCCTAGGTAGTACAAAAATCTTAACTCCTACAATTAATGGGGTACGTAACTTTTATAACTGGCTTGTCATAAACGACTTAAATTTTCAGTCGATCTGCGGTTATTCGAGGTAGGGTAGTTACCTCTCTGGGTTCTGGTTTGGTTGGAGTGCGAGTGTCCACGGCCACACCTCTCGAAGGGTTCACATTAACGAGAGAGGACGGTTGGTTCGACTTGCTTGTCAACGGAGGAGGGGCGGTCACTCTTCACTTTGGAAGAGCACCTTTCAAGCGTTCCACTCAAGTTATTTTCGTGCCCTGGAATGAGGTGAATATGTTTGGATATAATCATAAATAAATATTTTTTTTAACATTGACAGAATGTTAATATGCAGATCTTATATAAAACTATTGTTTGGAACACAAAACGTAAGCACTACTTATAATTTTAAAATGTATGACTTATTTAACTCGATATAAATGAGTGACATAATTATTTTGTGCAAGCACGAAACATGCAAAACAATGATTAAACCTAAATTTGTATTGAAAACTCAATTTAGAACTGATGATGACTTAATTTTTTACAATGAATGCAAAGGTTAACGTGCTGAATATTTTGATTTACCTCAATAATATTTGTAAAATCATTATTAAAAAAAATTTTAATGGTAGGTTGTGATAATCGACGAAGTGGTTATGACGACGGCGGATGATAAAGGTAGCATGGGTCCGCCTCAAGCTTGCCTTGCACACGACTACGATGCAATGAAACCAGTTGTACTTGCCACCTGGAAACATGGTTTCCAAGGAGCCTGCCCAGATAAGAGCGCTATTTTAGCTGAATCTCAGGTAAGATACCGTTGTATTTATTTATAAAATACTCTGAACCCTTCTTAATATGTATACACGGTATCGTATAATTAATTTATCTAAAATATATTTTTTTTAGGTTGTTCAAGAAAGCCTTCAAATACCAGGCACCGGTTTAAATTTGGTCTATCATAGTTCAAGAGCGGCTGGTTACCTTTCTACTATACAACTACAACTAACACCGGAAAAAGTTCCACCTACTTTGGCTTTGATACATTTGCGTATAACAATCGAAGGCATTCTTTTCGAGAAAGTGTTTGAAGCCGATCCAGTGATCAAATTCACATACCCATGGAATAGGCTTAATGTTTATAGACAAAGAGTTTATGGCGTAACAACGGCACTAGTTAAAGTGGGTTATCAATACACTGATTGTAAGGATATCATATGGAATGTACAAACCACAAAGTTAAGTGGTCATGATATGAGCATCTCTGATGTTGGAGGATGGAACTTAGACATACATCACAGATATAATTTCCACGAAGGTAATTGGGCTAAATAAAATAAAAAATAACCAAATTCAGGTTATTCAAATATTATTTATTATCTTTATATTTTTCCCTACAGGTATTCTGCAAAAAGGTGACGGAACTAACATATACTTGAAACACAAACCTCGCCTCATCATAACAGCAATGGGTGACGGAAGACAACGTGCTTTAGACTGTGGAAACGAATGCGCGGGAGCAGCACGACGACAACGACTACTAGCACCTGTCGCATTGGCCACCGCACCGGATGGAAGCTTATTCGTAGGGGACTTCAACTTAGTGCGCAAAATCGGCACCGATGGAAGCGTTCGGACCGTTGTTAAATTGAAGTAAGTGTCAAATTTTAAGAAAATTTGTGCTTCCCAATTTTTTTAATACAATTTACTTACTAAATTTACTTTGTTTGCAGTGCAACCCGTGTTTCCTACCGCTATCATATGGCCCTCTCCCCTCTTGATGGAACGTTGTACATATCTGACCCAGAGTCACATCAGATTATTAAAGTCCGCAACACAGAAGATTTTAGTGATCCTGAAAGAAACTGGGAAACTGTCGTTGGATCTGGTGAAAGATGTCTTCCTGGAGATGAAGCTCACTGCGGTGATGGAGCACTAGCAAGAGATGCAAAATTAGCATATCCCAAAGGTGTCGCTGTATCCATTGATAATGTACTGTACTTTGCCGACGGTACAAACATTCGCATGGTAGACAGAGATGGTATTATAACTACCGTTATTGGAAACCATATGCATCGAGCACATTGGAAACCGATACCTTGTGAAGGAACATTAAGCGTTGAAGAAGTTCACTTGAGATGGCCTACTGAGCTAACTATTAATCCGCTCGATAATAGCTTGCATATTATCGATGACCATATGATTTTACAAATGGCTCCTGATGGTAGGGTAAAAGTCATAGCTGGTAGACCGCTTCACTGTCCTTCACCATTATCTGGATATGACATGGAACTGGCAACATACGCAACACTTGTCATGCCTCAAAGCATTGCTTTTGGTGCCGCTGGGGACTTGTATGTTGCTGAAAGTGATTCTCAAAGAATTAACAGAGTAAGACTTATCACGACAGATGGAAAGATTTCTTTATATGCCGGAGCTGAATCAAAGTGCAATTGCTTGGAGAGAGGGTGTGATTGTTTTGAAGCAGATCATTTCTTGGCTTCCAATTCTAAGTTTAATACTATTTCAGCTGTCACAGTTAGTCCTGATGGCATAGTTCATATAGCGGATCAAGCTAATTACAGAATAAGATCTGTTATGGCTAGTATTCCTGATGCAAGTGGAGCTAGAGAATATGAAATTTATTCCCCAGATACACAAGAAACATATATATTCAATAGGTTTGGTCAACACGTCATGACAAAAAATATTTTGACGGGAGAAAACAATTATATTTTTACCTATACTGTTAACACAAGCAATGGTAAATTAAGCACAGTGACTGATGCAGCCGGTAATAAAGTATTTCTTCTACGTGATTACTCTAGTCTCGTAAATTCAATAGAAAATACAAAGGGTCAAAAGTGTAGACTTAAGATGTCACGCATGAAAATGCTTCAAGAACTCCGAACCCCTGACAACTTTAATGTTACTTTTGATTATCACGGAACCTCTGGTTTACTAAAAGCAAAATATGACAGCACTGGTAGGAGTTATATTTATAAGTATGATGAGTTTGGTAGACTTACATCAGCAGTCACTCCTACGGGCAGAATTATTAACTTAACATTTGATCTTAGTCTCAAAGGAGCCACTGTGCTTGTCAGTGAAAATAACAGAAAACCAATATCGATATTGATTAAAGGATCGTCAGTTAACACAAGAGTCGGCGAAGCTGAAAAGAAAACAATTATATCATCCGATAATAGTATATCATCTAGTATGCCTTGGGGACATATTATATCTACAGATACGGTACCCTACACAATTCTCTCGGAAATTGATCCTATTTTAGGAGAAAGTTATCCAGTACCAGCTAAACAAAGGACGGAAGTTGGCGGCGACTTAGCTAATAGATTTGAATGGCGTTATTTCTTAAGAAGGCTTCAATCGAACAAAGGCAAGAGCAGTAAGGCAGTCGCGCAAATAGGTCGAAAATTACGAGTGAATGGTGAAAACCTACTTACGCTGGAATACGATAGAGATACGTCTACGGTTGCAGTATTTATGGATGATAAAGTTGAACTCTTAAATGTCACGTATGATAGAATGGCTAGGCCAGTAAAATGGGGACCGAGAAGTGGAATATTTGCTGAAGTTGAACTAGATTATGATAGATTTAATAGATTAACAAGTTGGAAATGGGGTGACCTTAATGAAACCTATGGATACGACCGGGCTGGCAGGTTGCACGAAATCAGATATGGAGATGGATCATCTTTGGCTTATTCCTTTAGAGATATGTTTACTAACTTACCGCTCAAGGTAACTACACCTAGAGGCAGTGATTATCTCCTCGATTATGATGATTCTGGAGCTCTTCAAAATCTTACAACACCAAGGGGCCATATTCATACATTTGCCCTCATGACTTCATTGGGCTACTTTAAATATCAATACTTTTCACCAATGAATCGACACCCATACGAAATTTTATACAATGATGATGGGCATATTCTAGCAAAAATATTTCCTCATCAATCAGGAAAAATTCTCTATGTATATGATAGCACAGGAAAACTAGAAACTGTATTGGCTGGAGCATCAGCAATACGATACGTGTATCATGAAAACAGCCACCTTGTCAAAAATGTTGAAATAAGTGATCCTGATTATGAGTTAAGACAAGATTATAAATATCACGCAGGAATATTAAAAGATGAGAAAATGAAGTTTAACTCTAAAACTGGACTAAATAATGCTCACTTTAAATATCAGTACGATGGCAACGCTCGACTATCTACCATAGATATGAATATCAACAGCAAAGAAATGCCACAATTGAGATTGAAATATAATCAAAATTTGGGATCCCTGGAAGGTGTAAGCGATTTAAGAATATACAGTAATACATTTAATCGTTCTGTTATGCAGGATACAAGCAAACAATTCTTTACTATTACTGATTATGATGATCATGGCAGAATCAAAACTGTATTAATAAATATTAAATCGTTCGACGTCTTCCGTCTTGAACTGGAATATGACATAAGAAATCGAATTAAGTCGAAAAAGATGATGATAGGCGATACATCTTCAAGCGAACGCATAAGTTACAATTACGATGGTCATTTAATGGAAGTAGTTGGCTCCATAGACGACTGGAAATATGTGTATGATGAGAATGGTAACATCATTAGTATTATCGAACATGGTGAGAAACGCTATCTAGGCTATGATATTGGTGATCGTGTTGTTCAGTACGGTGATATTGAATTCAGTAGTTACGATGGCCGCGGATTCGTAATAAGACGTGGGGAGCAAAAATACAGGTATAACTCTCGAGGACAATTCGTCCATGCGTTTGAAAGGGATAAATTTCAAATGTGGTATTTCTATGATGATAGGAATAGACTTGTCGCTTGGAAAGATGACAAGGACAACATTACACAATTCTTCTACACGAACCCTCAAGCTCCTAACCTTATAACTCATATGCATTACCCAAAATCTGAGAAAACTGTACGATTTTTGTATGATCAAAGAAACTTTTTAACATGCATTGAAACCGAGGATCAACGTTTCTATGTAGCAACTGATCATAATGGTTCCCCTCTTGTGGTATTTGATGTTAACGGAGAAATTATAAAAGAAATAAAACGTAGTCCCTTCGGTAAAATAGTAAAAGACACAAATCCAGGATTCTATCTACCCGTTGACTTCCAATCTGGAATATTTGATTATAACACTAATTTGGTATATTTAGAAAATCGCTTATATGACCCCGTTGTTGGTCAATGGATGACACCAAATTGGGAACATCTTGCAACAAAGTTAAGCCTGCCTACCGATATATTTATCTACAGATTTAGAAATAATGACCCCATTAATAGAAACCAAAACGTTCCTTATATGACGAACTTGGCAAGCTGGCTACAGCTTTATGGATACGATTTGAATAAGATGATGGGAGCCAAGTATATCACTGATATGATCTTCCAACCTAAGACATCAGTTACTGCGCCACAATTAGTGCCTGATTTTGGTGTTATGTCTGGATTACAATGCATTATAGAAAAGGTAACAATAATATTTATAATGAACTGAATTATTAGCATAATTTAAAGCTTTATTTTTAGGTACTATTTATTGAATTTATTTTCATTTACAGGTTAACGACAAATTGTCGGATATTGAGTTTGTCCCAACACCTCTTCTAAAGATGGAACCCATGACAAGAAACTTGTTACCAAGAGTATCTTACAAGCGAGGTGTATTTGGCGAAGGTGTATTAATATCACGAGTGGACGGAAAAGCCTTTATCAGTGTTGCCGATGGCGCTAATAGCGTTGTAGAAGATGTTATAACCACTGTATTTAACAACTCGTTTTTCCTAGACGTTCACTTCAGTATTCACGATCAGGACGTATTCTACTTTGTTAAAGACAATTCACTTAAAATCAGAGATGACATGGAGGAACTGAGACGATTGTCTGGCAAATTCAACGTATCTCAAGATGAGACCAATGACCAAGGATTAGAGGTACATAAAAGTTGAATATAAAAATATATTAAATTGACTGTTTGTTTTTGTGTGTGGACTGTTGAATATAAAAAAATATTACATTAAAAATAATTATTTTTTCCTATGCAGGTTCGCGTACATGCAGTCGGAAAGGGTTCTGCACAAGCAGTGATTGTTTTGCGCTACGGAGTTGATCCTTCACAGGAACGAATCAAATTGTTAAAACACGCTCACAAGAGAGCTGCGGCTAGAGCATGGGAGAGAGAGAAGGCGCTTGTTGCCGCCGGATGGGAAGGAAGGGGTTCTTGGACCGAAGAAGAGAAAGAAGAACTTATATCTCACGGTATAGTTGATGGCTGGGCTGCCAAAGATGTGCACTCTGTGTCCAGGTACCCTCAGTTAGCTGATGACCCGGCAAATATTGTTTTTGTCCGTGATGGAAGAAGAAAACGAAGAAAGAGTGGCCGCGCCCGTCATCGTTCTTGAATTTCTTTCGATACTCTGCTACTTTAAATTAGAATGATCTGCAATCAGATACTCTGTAGGTTTTATTTCTATAGAACTGGCGTATGACAGTGGCGACCGTGTTTGTGAATTCTTGTGATGGATAGTGTAGATGCATTTAGTTTTCTATGGACTGACGTTTTATATGATGGCTAGTTTAGGATTAAACGAACTCGGAAATTTAGATCATTAGAGTAGATCTCTTTTTAGTTTATTTGCTTTAAAACATATTTCGAACCTTAAGTCATTCACCCTTTACCAAACTAAAAAGCTCACGTTAAATGAATCTCTTGAAATAAAGTACGACAGGGTAACGAGTCATTAAAAACATTTATAATAATGCTTATAATATGAACTAAGCATAATATGAAACATAAATACTCAATTGCGATCACAATTTTTCTTATACATTTTTTGATATTATTTTACAATATTAATTTTAGTCCTATATACGTCGCTTATAATAATCTTCACAAAAATCATGTATTCCTAATGTATTTTAGCCAAAAAATAATTCTTTCAATCCCTACAATTAGGTATTTGTACATAATAATATTTTATTCTTGTAGTCGTTCTTTTGTATTGTTAGACCTAAGGTCTTTTATTACTTCGCAATACTATTACTATGTAAGCAATAATTTTTATATTTTATCTAAATATCTTATACTCTATTGACCCGTGATTATTTTTTTATATTATCTTTTTTCTCTATCTACTCCAAATAATCCCTACTCCTGCCAGAAAGTAATTTTGAAATATGAGATTAACGTCATCCATATTTCACTTGTAAGCATCTCATTTTATATATATATATATATATACATTTAATTGCTTACTCCCATATTACTCCCGAAAAATATGGATTTTATCAATCAACTGCAAAACTAAACTCAAACTATGTATTTTTGTAATAGAAACACACAAAACTGAAATAATATTCAATGTTGCCAGATAATGGCATAAAGTAGTTGCTCGATCTATTAGTAATTTTAAATAGGTGAATTTATCGAAACAATGATACGTAACACCGAGTGTGTGCAATAATAAAACTGTAGATTCAGTAACCATCTAGGGTCAATACTTCTTGCTGACTTATCTCTGATTTATGATCCTTATACCTTTCCTCTTTGTGTGTCAATGTGCGCTCAGATTACCTGAAAATTATGATATGTATATACATTGCATTGAATTTGTATAAGATTAAATATTATTTTATATTCCTGAGACATTATTAAAAACTATTGTATAAGAACTTCCGATATCCCTGAATGAAGCGTCTTTGACCGCAAGTTGTATGTTAATCGTGGTACCCCTAAGTCAGTAAGAAGAAAAAATAAAATTAAAATAAGTATGTAGTTAAGTAGATATATTGTATGTCCATATGTGTCTCATTTAAATTGTGGTGTCTACTCTGTGTTAGATTATTAATTTAAATGCTAGTTGACTGAGCGATTTTTGATATGGCGTCGATATTTTTTACGAAAAGTTTATAAAAATAAAAAATTGGAGGGATAAATTTAAATGTACTTCTCCTTGGCAATGGGCCGATGCAAGGTGATATTTTGGCAAAATGTGACTAAACGAAGCAATACGTTGTAATTTAAAATTTCTTACTTTTTATTTAGTGACTGTAAGGTGTATTTTTATTTATAATTAATATATAATAAAACAATATATACATTATAATATTTATCTATTTTGAATGTAGTTATTGATTTCGCGGTGATATAGAACGGTATAGTTGTCTTTTTATGATGTATAAAGAATTCTAATTTGTAAATAGGTACTTAATGATGTGTGTAAAAAATAATGTACATATCTTTACGCTTGTATTATTTATGAAGGGAGTTAAGATTACTAGAATACAAAATAATGTATATCATGCGTCAAGCAAATTGAGGCTGTAGGATTAATACTGACCTTGTTGTTTAATCTGTATGTAACTTCCTAATATTTTTTTTTAATTTTTGGCAATTATTTTTCCCGCCATTTAGCTTTTACCTATCAAAAGTAACTCGTATTTATAAATTTAAAAATCAATAATGTAGTACCATCAATAGACTAAGCTTCTAGACTTAGAGCTTAATGCGATCAGTGCATTATAGGACCTCTGCTGCATCAAATTTTTTATTTAGATATGACGTAGACCCCAATATTCTCTATTATTCTGTGTATAGATAGTCTGCAGTACGATTTAGTTATGTGCGTTCGTGAGCGATGTAAGCATGTACAATAATAAATATAGATGTATTCTAATGGAATATGTAATAAAAAAATAAATAAAACAAATCAATTGTTTTAATTACATTATTTTATTTCCCCTTTTTTATATTAAATTTAAAAATATATATTGCAGTCCATAACATTTAGCAAAAGCCGACAGTGAAATATGACATTTTTTTTTGGTTATTAAAAATTGCGTGCATACTTTCTTAAAAATAATAAAATAATATTATTTAATGAGTGCAGATACAAATAATATTACTATTTTCTATCGCATTATGCATTAAAATTTATATAACATTGTGGTTTTACTCTGTTCAATGACACAGCTATTCACTACAACTACAGATTTTATTCTATTAAACATTATTAAATGTAATTAAAATAAAAATATTTCGCGCTAAAACATCTGGACGGATTTATGACAATTTTGACAGACTTTATCCATGAAAATATATGATTAGGTAAAAAAAATAGTTAATGGCAAGATATATATTTTTGTAAAAAATAATGATGATTTTTGAAAACTATGAGAATGTAACACAGTTTAAATATATCAAAAAATGTCAGTCTTAACACTATCTATTTACGTTAGTGTTGTATGTAATATAAATCATTAGAATTAAAATGCAAACTTAAAATATAGCATGAAAAATTCATTGTCACAACATTATTTGGTGGTAATAAAATATTAGCACAGAACGGTAATCCCACGAAAATTAACAGCAAGGTCAATTATAACTTTTATTTATAGAATTAAAAATCTCAAAGTCAAATACTTCAAATATAATAGAAAACTATGCAACTTGAATTTAAGGGTAGAATGTAGAAATCGAAACTATTTTCTATTTTTTAACCTAGATTTGTATATAAAAGCATTTTTTAAAATTTATTATACTTATAACTGTTAAAAAATAATTAATTTCTGCTCGAAACAATGTTTTAATTTTCTTATAAATAACATATTTGTTTTGAATGAATATGTTAATTATACATCACATTAACCGCTCTCTGTACTATAGACAACATCTAACTGTCATGTCTATACCATAGACAATAATTACTCCTCAACGGGACCAGTAACTCTTTTAGCGATGGTATCCCACGTCGCCAACATAGCGTTATCTACTTTATCTATGATCCACTCTTGGGTTTCTGAGTCTGAACACTGCTTTATGAAAACTGATCTCGTTGATATTTCAAAATCTAAACAATTGTCGTTTGTACCATGTTTAAGACGCCTGGACTCCTGTAAAATAAAACCAATTTTGTTTGTAACTTGTTTGGTACTGTATCATTGTTTATTAAGAAAATTATTCTCAATAAAAATTAAATTAGTTCAATAAAATATTTCAAATACCATAACAAAATTATGGGCAATTAAAAAATTGTGAAAAATTTACACATATTTTGAATTGTCTTAAGAATGATAAAACAAATGTTTTTATGAACAACATACGGGATGATATCTCCAGAGCTGGTTTCCTCCCCCCAGGTGACAGCTGTACAAGAGTATGGGACTCCTTGGAGAAGAATCTGGCAGGTCCCAGCACATATTCCGAGTTTTAGACCTAAAATTAATCATTGATAATACTTTAATATTAAATCACATATAAAAAAACGTTCTTCTTGCTATAAGATATTCATATAATTAAAAAATTATATTTAAAGTTTAATATCATTAATTTGATTGTATTGCCAAGTAAATGTTTTAGATACGAATCCATATAAAAATTGTAGTATAAACATAAAAATCTCACTTAATGTCCTTATGCCATGACAGCACAAAGTTTTGTTCAGCAGATGTAGCATCTGTACACGCCTTTAAATGTAATTTGTCCATTTGGTTGCCATGATGAGCATCGACACATAAATGAGGATACGTAACCGGCCTTATCTGCAAAATAACGTGTACATAACAGTTATATCAGTATGAATGTATACTGTATAGGGTCGTTGCCTTTTATATGCGTTGGTATAAAAAAAAATAATTGATAACACTTATTTAATGTTATCCAATACAAAACGCAATCTTATATTAATTTGACGCTACAGTACATTAGATATATGTAAATATAAAATGTAATAAATTTAATGAGCTCTAAGATTTTCGCGAGTACTCATTTATAAGAAATTAATACTTTTATGATTTACTACGCGTTTTTTTTACTATAAGCTACATACTCCCGACATTTCGGCTACTTTCCAGCAACCGTGATCACGGGCAGACGAGATGTGTGTAATAAATTTATTTTCAACTTACACGTCCTTCTGCGAAAGGTTTTGGTTCGACCGGCGGATACTTTGCTGTCAGGTCAAAAGCAATCTATAAATAAATCATAAATTAATGAGCAATGGTATATATAAAACATAATATTTTACTCATAAATTGAACTAGACATGCGTGTTACTGAAATAGATTATTAATCAGTGATCATGTTATTCCTTAAAATCATCAACATCAGCCTATCAGAGACCGCTGCTGAGAAAAGGCCTTTACTAACATGGAGAAGGTTAGAGCATTAATCACCACTCTAGCTCAAGGCTGATTGGAGATTTCAAACCTATAAATTGAAATTATAAATCCACACGATTGTTTCTTGCACTGTCATTGGTGGCTAAATACTCTTAGAAAGTACGTATGACTCGGAAAAACCACATTGGTACTTGCCAGGGATCGAACCTGCGCCCGAGAGGTGGGCCTTTAACCACAAGGCCACCACGACTTAATAACACCTAATCTAACAGATATTACAAATATTATCAATATTATGCATTTTCTATAACAAACACATTACCTGAGTCATGAACCATTTGAACGGTTTGCATTGAAGTTTCTCCCTTAAAGCCTTCTGCTTGGATATATCACCGGTATCTATTTTCAAATAGTGTGGACGCCTTTTATACAAGTATTGAGCGTATTCGTCCATCCACACTTCCGCGACTCGTCTGTAATTCTGTATAATAAAAGTTATGATATAAAAAAATATATCAAGTTGTTTTTTATTTTTAGGGGAGTACTAAAATATTCTTAGCAAGACATGCAAGATTATTAAATAATATCATTCCTTCAATGACAATTAAGCGTGTTAATTAATTGAACGTTACTAGAATCGTGGGTGACGTGAATAAACATAACAATAACTGTAATGTTATTCTGAATACTTTAAAATAATAAATCTATAAGTCACCTTTCCAACAAAATCTCCGTGGCCGGGATTGGGGAAGGGAGCGAATTTCCTGTAAATATGTCCAACTCGAGAACATGGCGCATCCAACATTTTTCCACCACACTGCCATAACTGAAATTCATCAATTAACGAGTTAGTATCACCGTGGCTATTCTCCTATTTATAATGGAAATTAGAATTATATAACCAGCTTTGGTATTAAAAAATCCTAAAAGTCTCTTATTGTCTGTATAATGTAAAAATCAAATGCTCTCAACAACACGATTGACGTTCACCTAAACGACTTAAGATATATTCCAAATATTTATTCGAGACTGGCTATGAGCAAAAGAGATAAAAAATATGTGTTCATACCCCTTTCTCTCTTGCCCTTCCGTAATATACGAAACCTAACCCTGTTTTTGTCGCCACTAACTTTAAATTTCCTATCAACTGGTAAAGGCAAACCCTGGCATATACAACATATCAACAACTAACCTTAAAGCTGAGCTCATATTGCTCCCCACCCCATATATCAAGACCGGGATCATACCCGCCAAGCTCCCAGAAGAATACACGTGATATCGCGAACAAACCACCCGCCATTACTGGACTCCTGAAAAATATTACATAACTTTTAAATTAAATCCAAAGCCTAAATACAAACGAAAAACAATAACCGCCTTTCAGAACAGTTTTCAACTAGAAGTATATAATAACCAACAATATTCGTTTACGTAGCGAAAATCAAAATTCTCAAGATCACTTTTTAAGAGTAAATTTTAATTTTAATGTTTATGGGTATTTTTAAGGAATTTTAACTATACTACAGCTTCTACTACTGTGGCTTACTATCCTCACAGCGTACTCACGGAAATGGCTCTGGCATATTCTCTTCATCAGCTGGTAGCACCGGCAGTCGCTTGTAAAACAGTTCCCAGTCAAACGCGCCACGAGCCCCCTCATCTTGAGCCCGATACGCAAACGTATCAAACGCAACAACATCAATGAATGGGCACACCACTGTCTTGTAATTCAATGCTATGGGCTCTGTAATAAGGATCATAATTGAAACAAAATTCTTCCACTACCATTATTTATACATATATGTAAAATTTCTGTTAATACTTTATAAAGTACATCATGTCATAATTGTATATAACTAAAGCTTCTACCAAGCAGTGATATCTTTCAAGATAATTAGATTATTACAATCTATCAATATATCAATTTCAAATGATCCAAATTATGATATATTGTTACATGTAATTGTGAAAGCAATTCAAAGAATACATACACAGACCTAGCAGTGGGGGTAGCCAGTTGACATTGGCTTCTGTATGCGAGTCAAGGAATACCAGGACATCGGCTGTAGCTTTCTCCGCACCAGCTAATCGAGCAGCTATCAATCCACTTCTGGATTTTAGTCGGATTATTTTTACTTTAGGCATATGTTTTGATACATAATCATCAAGCTGTTCCTTAAGAAAATCTGAAATATACTCGTATTTTTTATATAATCCTGAAATATATCTCTTAATATATATACACAAGTTTTATATTATTATATATTACCTTTAGTGCTGGCATCATCTACTAAAAACACTTCTTTTATAAGAAATGTTGGTGATCTATTAAGAACACTGTATGCTGTTCGTAACAATGTACTCCAATGCTCATTATGAAATGGGACTACCACACTGACGGTTGGCAAGGATTCAATGTACAGCCTATTTTGACAACCAGGATGACGAATGTCTGGTAGAGATCTGTTTAATGGTATTTTGTCACTTAAGGCCCCATTAAAACCATTGACTGCATACAAATCCTTCTCCATTTCTGAATCTTTGATTGGCAAATATGCTGGTACACCATGTTCACCAATACCTTTAATAATATGAGGTGTGCATTCTTATTTATATTTCAAGCATAGATTGTATACAGGGAAGGCTTATTTATTGTTATACTATATAAAGTTTAATGATAAAAGTTAGTAACAATATAAATTAACCAAAATCCTATTATGGGGGCATTAATGATCTAAAACTTTAAGTGAAGTTTTTGGTAAAAATATTTACCTGTTCTCTTTTTTTCATACTCAATTTGTTTATAGTTATGCCAATCTATTTTCTGAAAAGAATACAAAACTGTTATATACATACAAAAAAATAAATTTGTTTTTTCATTTACTAAGGAATTACAATAAAATGAAATACAGATAATACAGATTCCTACAAGATTTGACTAGTTTGTTAAAATCTTGGCAATAATATACCTTATAACTAGATGGTATAAAATATTTATTTTCATTTTGAACTGTTCTTTGCCAATAGCTCTGGGCTGGAAAAACATCTGATATTCTTTTTACGTCCACTATAGTGTTAATAGTGTATATTAATATTACAACAATTGTTAACAGTATTATGTTACGTAGTAGTCTTAAACAATTTCTTCTCATGGCTGAAACCTGAAAAAAGGATTATTTAATAAAGTGATTATTAAAAATGAACTGTATTTAGTAATTTAAAAATGTAAAAAAAATCGAATATTAGATGCATCTACATAAACACTTGCAGTTGGTCGTACTGTATTTTTTTATATAACATTAAACTAATTATAATAAAAATCTAACTTATGCAAAATTTTATCAAATCATTTTATCATAAAAATACAACAATTTAGATTTCCAATTAAAAATAAAAGTAAACGACATGTTCAATGATAAGATAAACCTTAAATTTTGATGGTAGATATGGTAAAATATTTATAAAATAACATATAACAAGTTTTTCAACATATAAGACTTTGTAAAAAGAAAGTTACTTTATCAACAACAGGATATATAAATAAGATAAATGAATGAGATCGATTGAAAAAAATATTACCTTATTTTAAATTATAAAACGAACAATACCTTCTCCTCTTGTATTAACAGCCACTTACTTCATAGTCTAAACTAAAAATAATATATAATTTTTTAATCTTTCTCTATATGGACAGTAATCGGCATTTATGCCAGGGTAACGTTTGCCGACTGTTATAGATTACACTACTACAAAGGACGTACCGTAGTCCATACGTCGATACCTAAGCTTTTGGCTAAGGCATTGTATTGACATTTAATTGTCAAGTTGAACGATGACAGCAGTCAGACTCGTTATAAATGTTTTTATTTCCTAAATTGATTACCTACTTTTTTATTTATTTTTTTACGAAGGGTAAGTAGTATAAAATAAAAAAATATTTTCTTATAACTTTAATACCAATGTGTTATTATTAAACAAGATCTTACCACAAGAAGCAAAACATGAATACGTCAAAAACCATCCAAAAAAGAATATTTCTACAATAAAGTACAAAATGTCATCAAATCTGTCATCCATTATTTTTTATCTAATTTTATACCACATAATTAATAAAAGTCGCCAATTTATCGAACTAAGAAAGGAACTGACTGTTTGTCAAGACTATTCAGTACTACTAAGCAATGATAATAATTATGCCACTGTAGTGGAAGTAATTAATGGCAATGTAGTAAATTTACTTTGTCGGTTTTGGTATTTTGCTAAAAATATATGTGACAGTTAATTTAGGTTTCTATACAATTGTATTATTAGATATTTCTTATTTTCAGCAATACTAAAAATGTATATGACAAACAAACCTGGTATTTTAAAAAACGAGGACTGGATATCATGAAATTAAAAATAACCGGCAGTGCTGGGAGTGTGATTATATTTTCTTCTAATGATTTGCAAATTAGAAATTTTAGTAATTCCTTTTCCGGCATATATATTTGTGAATATTCAGATGAATATATTGAAGGAGCTTTCACATATGTTTTGGATGGTAATACTAAATTCTTATTTTTAGAGATATGAGGTCATTTTATTCAGGAATCTGTTTATAGATTATAGTATGTATAGTGCTTAGTAATATCTTACGGAAAAACAATTTTTTACCTGATCTATATAGATCAGGTAATATATGTTTTCAAAAAATAGTTATGTTAATTAAATATCGTCACATTTAAAAATTTTGAACCTATATTCGAACTTTTACATATCAGTAGGTACAGTCCTAAATACAATTCTTAATTTTAGAAGTTTTTGACGTTAAACCAAAGCTCGGTTTAAGAGATGAGTGGCAAAGATATAAACGTGAGAAGGTTGACAGTATCAATAAGAATTTTAAGTCATCAAAGTTGGAACCGTTTGTGAGCATACGAAATAGATTAAAACTATCATTTAAAATAATAACATTTTTTGATAATTGGGGTTCGTGTGAGCCAATAGGAAATGGAAAAGGTCTTCGAAAAAGACTTGCCAAATGTAGACTAAGACCCACATTTTACAAAGTAAATAAACAAACTAAGGTGAATCCTCAACACGTCCATAGAAATGAAGATTAAGTACTTAATAAGAACTAATGAAGTGATTTTTTAGGAATATTCCAATACCTCAGACAGGATTTCTCGATTTTTCTTATTAGACAAGTATGACATTTCTTGTAAATCTAAAACATTGCACGAAATACTGCCCGCACTAAGAAATATTGTGAATGTACCTGATTTTGAAATCATAGAAGCTTGTAACATAAGAAACGGTACATCAAAAGAATAGTTTATTCAAGCTTATTAGAGGTTCTTAATTGAATTATATATTAATAATTAATCCATTTTAGATCCGATAAAAGGTTCTAGCGAGAAACAAATAGATTTTAAATATAGAGACCTAAAACACATATGTGAAAATGACCATTTAAATTTAATCTGTCCAGATATAGAAATATGGTCTCAAATCCAATGGTTTAAAAATAATGTTTTACTGAATTCTACTTTCCGGTATGTCACCTCATATCTTTCTTAGAAAGGACTTATCAGGGTTTAATTTATCGAGTAGTATAAAAGTAACACTTATTTTTATCACTATCATTAAAGCTATAAGTAAATGTGGTCGCTATTATCAGTTTCCCGTTAACTTTATAGGTCAAATAAATAAGAATCATAAGCATTAATAATCAGTAAAAATACCGTATAGTGTTCTTACCTACAATAAAATTATTTTCATTATAGAAACAATATTGCTGATTCTGATGAAGAGCCACATCTCACAATAGATTCTTACGGCACTCTGTATATTTTACATGCAACCAAGAATGAAGAAGCTAATTATTCATGTATCGTTAATGGCGAGAACATGCTGTTATGCGATGTTAGAGTAGTTTCGAAATCTAGACTTTTAAATCAAGGTATTTTTTAGTAATGTTTGTGCGAAATATGTATATTTATATCTTTTTAAGATGAAATTTAGTTATATTTACAAATGCTCATCTGATCAATTGATTTTGTTTTAGAATTTATTAGATATTCAATATATTTGGGATTTGTTTTATCTCTAACATTATCTTGCTATTGTGCTGGTGTACTAGTGGCATGGCACCGCCGAAGTTCGTTTGCAGACCCTCTTTACTTAAACAGTCAAAAGACAAGACAAAAAATTAAATATAAAGCGTTATTTAATTAAAATATGGGCAAAAATGATTAAATAAGACAATTAAAAAAGTAACAGTATTTCAATCAGAAGTTTTGCCTTAATGACCTTTAATGACATAAAAACATTTTGATAAAGAGTTCATCAAGAATCAGAATCATCACTATTCTAATGACTTTCTTATCGTTACTTAACGGATACTACGGATAAAAATGTTTTAAAAAGACCAACTAGTTTTCGTTGCGTTCACTCTTCCATAATTGACAGTTTTATAGTTGACGTTGACATAATAAGTGAGAGTTGTTGTAACTTAGAAGGAACTGAAGGAAGTGACAATTCACAAGACAATACAAAGCGCGATTTGTTATCAAAATGAAAAGTTTTAGTAGTTAAATATATTTTTTCTTTTATCAATTATTAGGTGTTTGTTTAAAATGATTTATAAAACATATTTTTTGTGCTGTTTACTTGGATTAATGGTTTTAAAGGAAGTTAATGGTAAGTTTCACAACTTTTATATGACACGGATATATTTTCAAGGTAAAGTGAGAGTAAATTCTTGTTCAGTGCTATCAAAGTTTATATTTTAATGTTTTATATGGATCAAATAAAATTGTAGTTTTCTGTCACCAACCATTTTACAAATTTTTTTATTAATAAATGTAGTAATAGTATTACATCTTTCTTAATGCCATTATAGAAACTTTCTTTGCCATAATTGATTGCATTGTCCATTATTAAATGACTAAGAAAATTAAATGACTTTAGTAATTGATTGGTGTATAATGGTTTTGATATTAAAATATCATTATGTATAAATTTATCATTTCTGTATAAACTAGTTGGAAATTTCTGAAAAGTTGATTGTCTTTTGTATTTTACTAAGACAGAGTCAAACTTTTTATTAGTTATAATTATGTTTACATATCAGGTTTACAAAAACGCTGTATAAAGTGTCGGTCACGTGGCGAGTTGGGTTCATGCGGGGATCCATTCCCTACCAATGTGACCGAGTCAGAGGACCAGGTGGGAATACATGTTGTAGCATGTCCATCAGGCTGGTGCGGCAAAATGATTGAAGGCACCACAGGTGCTTTCAGAACTGATGGTAAGATAATATCAGTTAACAACTGTAAACAAGAGTAGATAAAAATATGCAGTTTAATGCTGGTAGTTAAATTAAGTTAATATTTATTTTGGAGAATAATATAAAATATTTGAATTATTAGTTTTCTTTTCAAATGTTCATTATACTATGACAGAAGACTTGATAATTGACCTAATTTAAGCATTTTCTTTAAGAAATTAAGTAATAAATAAAATAAATGTTAGTTGAATTCTAGTTTTGTCCATGACACACTGTGAAAAATGTAATTCAATAAAATTTGCATAACAATATAGTATTGTATTGTACCAGCTGTGGTTATGTAAAATTATAAGTTTTAGTATAATACTTTTATTATCAGTGGGGAGAAAAATATCCGAGACAAAACTCTTTTTGGAAAATTTACAATTAACATGATTACTTTCATGTTCTATTTTGTAGCAACTAAGTTCATGAAATTTATATGACAGCTAACAAATTTTTAACAAATGTATTTTTATTACCACTTTAAGAAAGAAGGATTTCTTTATATTTAAATCTAAATACTTTAAAGACATGATCAGTCTTCATATTATGTAGATAACAATCATGAATGTTTTCCAAACTTCAGATTACGGAGCTGCTACTCAAAGGATGTGTCTACAACGCTCACCCAGTGATGATGAGGAGCGTTGTGCATATACTATGTGGAATCATAAGAAAGTGTATATGTGTTTCTGTACTGGAGACCTTTGTAATTCTGCTGTAAGATCGCAATTAGTTCTACCAATTTTATTGTTAAGTGGTTTATCTATATTGTATAATTATTACCAAACTTAAATGTTCATTACATATTTAAGTGATAATTAATGTCCGTCCATTTTTGTATAATCTTTTTATAAGGTATTTAAAGTAGTCATTAACTATAAATGTACTATGAATTATGTCTTTTTTGGATTGTGTTCTTTATCTAGTTGATAATTTTTTTGTACTGTTTTATATAGTCAGGTAAATAACACTATTGATGGCACTGGTAATTTTTATTCATTAAATAAATACATTGCAGGGTAATAAACATATCTTCCTCAATAAAACTAGACAAATTTTATATGAAAATAAAAAGGCCTTTTTAACCCTAGAATGATCTGAGAGTAATTTTTATATAATTTAGGTTATGGATATACAAGATTATGAATGTGTTTTTATATATCTTAATTGTTTGTAGGGCAAAATTGTGATAAAAATCATAAACTGTGGTGTTCAAAACATGTCATAGGTATAATTTTAATACAATGGTAGATCAAGATTTTTTAATAATCTGATGCCTAACTAAGACAATATAATCATAGTAGGTGTTGTTTAAACACATTTGGTTTCACACAATGGGCCATAAAAAACTGTTTCGAGAATTATTAAGTATAAACAAATAAAAGCTGTCATAATACAATTCAGTAAAAGTTTCTTTACAAAAGTTATTTTCATTCCTTGTCCTTATATATAAATAATCTGGCAAATAAATATGAGGTATTTTATATGTAATATTTTTCTTAAGTTCCACATGTATAGTAGATATAAGATGTATAGATATAAAATATTATTATGATTTAATATGTGTTTTGTTCTGCTATGCTCTGTTGTACGGCCAAGTTTTTCGTATGCTCGCTAGCCTGTTGGGTGTGAGATTGTTTTTGATTCTTAGTTGTTGATTGGCGAGAAGCGATTTTATGTGTGGTATTTCGTGGAAGTACGGTCCACGCGGTGCCCTTAATGAGGCTGCCACTGCTTCCGAACCTTGTATCAAATAAGGATCTTCTTTATCAATTTCTGAAATAAGTAAATAGTTATAAGTCTTTGTTATACGCTTCATATTTATCAATTGAGTAATTAAATATGAATATAATATTAACGGCACAGTTTTAGTCATATGAGATATATAATGGGCAACGATTAGTTAACTTATTTAAAGAAAAGTTTTTTGAGCCAACAGGTCGACGATAGATGGCGCTTTTTAAGTTATTGAATAATAAAATTTAACAAATTATATTTTTACTTTGATAGTCATCAAGGATTTAGAAAAGGAAAAATTACCTGCAGTTTTGGCCGTATCTGATCGTTTTAAAGGGCTATAATGCAAGGGTGTAATGGGAGGTATAAATAACCCCACAGGCCATAGAGACTCTGGATCTGGAGAGTCTACTTTATATGGGGATGGAGGTAGCAGTGGTATAGCTTGAGCTGAAAATAGAAAAGTAAAAAATAAACACAATATGAAATTGTTTAATTGATGGATTGGGGAATCTTCAAACGTTGCAGTTGGTATAGGCCTTTATAGTTTAATTTTTAATGGATTTCCTTAATTTATTGGCTTCTGTTCCGATATTTTTTAAGTTACTATACTGTTAGTATCATAAGCACCTAAAACATTGTTATTCCATCGATTATTATTTCCATTGCCATGTCCTCTATGGGGGGGTAAATCTTCGACTTCGAAGGGTATTCTTGGCTTTTGTCGAGGATAACCTGGTTGCTGCTGCGCTGGCCCTGAAATTTCACATTTATTTCATATTTATATTCTTTGTTCAATAATTTTCACAATACCTTAGGTGTTATACAATGACCACTAGAAATTAAATCTATATTGTTAATGCAATAGTAATTTCTTAACACCCGTTTAATTAACAATTTAGTTTGTTAATGTCTGGGCACTCGTTATCGGCCTATCAGAGCTCACTATTATGTTCGAAAATTTTATGGATTATTTTTTCTTATAAGGATAACGAAGTGAGGTTATTTGTCTGTTTGTTATTGATTCGCACGTTTACATTATTATGTTATTACATCAGATGCTCTATCTAAAAGGACAAGGATCTCGATTCAAAAAACAGGGCCCTTTTAAAACGACAATATTTTTATTAATTATAATAAAAAAATCGATAAATTTATTCATAATAATTATATAGATATCAATTTAAATGAATTGTCTATTAGTGTTTTAATAAAGTTCACTTAAACATTCCAAGAATAATATGTAACAGAATATAAAATCCAAGTCATTTGTGCTCAGTTACAACAAATTTTAGGAATAAATTATTATTATAAGCAGTAAAACTTTATGACACTAATTACCGCGAAACTGCAGATTTAAAAGGGAATATGTTTTCGAATTACTTATGGCGTTTTAAAATTTAATTAAAATTTAACATACAATATAATAAAAAAATAAAATTATATTAAGCAATCAATCAAATTGTCTAAATTATACGACTGTAAAAGTAGTAATGATAAAGTGTATGTTGCGAATAATCATTATCTTTAATTAGACCTTACCTATAAAGGTTTATAACAAAGAAAAGGGTTTAGGTATGTACTTACTGTTTAAAAGTTTATTGTGTCTTTATTCCATTCTGAGAAATATAATACATACATACAAGTTTTTTATGCTGTTTAAAGCAATACTAGTTTTTTTTTCCCGAGAATCATATTATGTGAAGCGTATTTAAACAATTCATAAGGCAACTATCCAGAAACGACATCTTAAATCTGTGTCACGTCAGTTCATAAAAAAAATAAAACTTGTTTGCTGTGATCCCGCGGGAACTACGAGGAATTGAGGGATAAATTATAACCAATGTTATACATATATGTTTGTGTATGTTGGGCTGTCTAATCTACGTTACTCTAAAGTTTTATTACAATTGATTAAGTATTGATAATATTAGTGGGATATAAAACTACCATATCTGGTAAATTTTTTTTTGATGTCGCAGGGAAACTCTTTCTACGAGCCGTCCAATCGGCCTTAGTGGGGCTGGAAGGGATGTGTACTATATCTGGTACCAATGCTAGTACTGTCTATTTCACTGTACCTATTGATAGAATTTAAAATAATTTATAGTCCATATTAAACTTACGCCTTGTCCTCCTTGTAGGGAATCTCTGTAACACAGAAACAGGATTGCCGACACCGTGTGAATAACTGTGTCCAGGCGTGTTGACACTCACATGCGACGCGAAGTGAGCTCCTAGGCACGACTGTAGGCACACCAGCCACAAAACACTCTGTAATAGGTACTGGAGTTTCTGGGAAGTATACGAAATAGAATTTTATAATGTAGGTAAGTACGTAACATAAAATATATTCATGAAATATATTCATAGATTATTAAGAAAAATAAGATGAAAATGATTTAAGTTTAAAACTGTCTATTTTAAGTTCAAGACATAACCAGTATGCGGTTCAAGTTGGGAAAGTCTGAGTACAGAGCTTAAACAATTTGTTATTTATGAATCTTTGCACATTGTAATATAGGTACGTTATTGAATGAAAAATTAACAATGCTTCGTATTTTTTTCACAACGCAAAATTTGGACTCGTCATAAAATTGTATTGTGAACTTAAGAGAGAGAATTGCAAAACAATTTATTAAACTTATAAATCAAGAATATCCTATTCGTACCATTTACACAAAATAATAGAGTTTGCAGGTACCTCTTAAATATGCGAAGATCATAAATAAATGTTAATTGATTTTCAACTACGCAATATTCTGATTAAGTTTATTAATGTACCACTTACAATCTACATTTCAGTACCTATCGTAAGTCGTAACACTCATCCTCACTATATATATGTATGTATGTAGGTATCTATAGATATTATGTACTAGATTTATAAATGAATAAACTGCTATTGCTTTTTGTGTGTGAAGTCAGCTAAAAGTATGAAAAGAAAAACACAAAACCTTCTAAAATGTGAGTTTCACAGAATTTTGAGTTTCCTGATTTGACGTTCGTTAGTAAAATGTTAAATAATATTGATTCTCGATATTCTCCAAAGATCAAATTTGTGTAACACAAATGCAATCTCTGATGTTTCGTAACGAGTCTGTGATGAATTCTCAGGAGTAATAAAAGTAAATCACGAGACATTTGTTGTTTAAGACGCTCACACACTCACCTTCTATGTATATTTACATAATATAAACAAAAAATGACGGCCAATACATTATAATTTTGTAAGATTTTATTATTAACATATATGGGAACACTATTTGTATTTGCAATTTACATAGAGTGAAATCTTGCATGTGAATTTTCGTCGTTGTCAATTAACGTAATATCACATAAGTCATTAAATAATAAAGTTAATTGTATGCAATAAATACATTTGTTTGCACTACATAAAAATACATAGTTTTATTTTACGCTTATAATAGAGTAAGTGATAAAGTCAGTGGTGGCCTAGTGGTTAAAAGGCCCGCCTCACATGCATGAGGGCGCGGGTTCGATCCTGGCAAGTACCAAAGTGATTATTCCGAGTCATACTCGTATGTACTTTATAAGAGTATTTAGACATCATTGACGAATGCATTCCCAAAGAGGGTTGATGTCAGGCAGGCGGCCGGTCGTAAAAACAATTAGCCTAAACTACTCACAACATGTAAGGCAGACCCTGGCTAAAGCTGGGAAATTGCCAGGTAGAAGAAGAAGTAGAGTAAGTGACAGTAAGATGGTATTGTTGCCAATGAACGACTACAGATGTACCTCCAAGAGTTTTCTGACCTCTATAGTTATCGAGATTATGAAAAGAACTATAAGATTAATAAGGGAATGTAAGATTTTTGATATATTCATTTATCGATAGAAATGTATCCTCAGAGTTCTGTGAGCTGTTGGTACTAATGTTAAAAATAAACTACATCAAGAAAACACCCTTAAAACAAGTAATAATAAACCAATAATAAAAGATACCTTTATTTCAGAAGGTTATTTATTAATAGGTACTAAGAATTAATAAAAATAGAGATATTAATTACCTTGAACTTTATTTGACATTGAAAAAGCCAAATTTTGTACGAAACCCTATAAAGCTTTATCACACGTACTGGCCGTGCAATTGCAACACAATAGTAATTTTAAACTAAATTTGGTAATAATGAGCTTCATCTGATCAAAGTTATTATAATTTAAAGTGACTGTCATACCTTTGTATGTAGTGAAGGTATTCTTATCTTCGGCCTTGGTATAACTATAGATGCAGCAAGTACAAAATAGAGCAGGTTTTATAGATAAAAACTGAAGCACTAAAATGGCATTCAAACTCTCAAGTACTCTTAATCAAATTCTACAGTATAGCAACAGCAATATAGGTATATACAAACTTTCAAGTTGTATGAAAATTAGATTCCATTATAATTATTCGGTGTGAGAAGGTCATATATGAATGGTAATTACATATAAAGTTTTTATAAACTATATTTTTAACAACAATGTTGTTCATTTATCACCACTTACGCTAATTCCCATGATACACATATTACATCCTATTATGCGAATTTATTTCTTTAATATAATAACGTGAGAAAAAAAAATGTGTATTGCAAATCATGAAGATTTTCAGACGTCCGCGTAAATTAAATTACGTAAATTAAAAAGTTACTGAGTGTCAGTTTAGTGAGATATCATATTGAGTGTTTCTTGTTATATTTGTATCATATAAACTAATTAATTTAGGTATATGTAAGTATAATACTCGCGAGAATGGCAGACAACTCCTGTGGTAGGTATATAAGATGAATGGTAGGAAAGGGCGTTACTCACAAAATGCGTACGAGATATATGAGGACATGTCAACTCTTCAGTTAACTGAGATAGCATAATTATGTCTTAATTTATGTAATTACTAAAAAATATATTTTCAAACACAACGTTCAAAAAGTTGAAAGGTACAATAGGTAATAATATTATAACATTTCTATAACAATTTCATAAATTTTATTTTCTAAAATTTAGTTTATTTTCACTATTTTTTTTAATTTATTGTCCTGTAACTCTTGTTACAATTCAGTAAAATTGGTCAATCTTACTCGTCAAAATTACTGTAAATTAATTACTGTAAAACAAAAGTTTTTAAATTTTGTCATATTAAGAAGACATTGTATGATTTGCATATAGTTTGAATATTGGCTCACAAAAGCTCAGCGGGGTTAAGGTCCGGATGTTACGGTTGAAGGTCAAGAACAGTAGGACCTTCATCCTTTAAAATTTTATCAGTGTTATACATTTTTAAGTGAAAATTATCCTAATGAATCCTCCCTTATTTCTCTTATTATACTGTGGTCTCCCCAAAATTATTTACGTACCTAATTACTGTTTCTTCGTGCTCGAATTTCGTTACTAACAATTCACCTTACTGCTTGCTTATCTCAGCTACTATTTCAAGATAAATCATACGTGAGTGTATATTCGTTTGAGAAAAAATTGTAAATTTGGGAAATAATTTTATTCACTAGTCGTAATATTAAATCAGCCCTAACAAGGTATTATACCTCTCGTTAAGAATAAACTGTCAAGACAAATTGACTCCTGTAACAGGCAAGGAGCGAAGCTAAAGACTTAGATTGACATGTGTTTCCCTCCCTCCTCCTGCCGCTTCCATAGCTCAAGAGATAACTAGCACAATTTAACTTTGGTACAATTTGGTCAACTGTCATTAAAACTTTTACTTCCATAAACAAAGATCATAATTTCGGAAACATGGCATTGTTGAAGCTTGCTTGATGTTTATCGCGTCATGCGACGATTAGGTACTACAATGTTTAGGCATTATCTCAACAGTGAACAGTGATGACGAAACATAACCTTCCTGACAATAAATAATTCGGACGATTTGTGAAGCTCCACTCTAACACAAGGGCAAAATGTAAAGCTATAAATGTTACATTCTGATAAATTTAATTTCATACTAACTTTGGTTATAACATACATTTAGTCCTATAATGTAATTTTGAATTTTTAAACATGTTTTAGGAACAAGTTATTTATCATATCTCACAGAAAAAATCGGTTTATAATAAAACTATGAGGTAGTAATTTTAGAAAATAATGAAGGAAAATATTAAATAATTTATTTTTTATCACGTATATGTACTGATTGTGACTTGTATTAATTAGAATTGTCAATAGTGAGGGCAAGGTGAATGATGGGATGTCATTATATGTATTAACTGAATGATCCCACGCTTGACCGATTTAGAAAAGATGCACATGCAATTTGCAGTTGCATAATGCAATTGACAAATTGTATACTCCGAATGTATTGTCCTTGATATGCCTGTTTAGCGCCGAACGTGACAAATGTTCGTAATATCCAGGGTTAGCAAAAATATATTTTTCTGAGGTTTCTAATCAATAAAATTTGAAGTTTTGTATGTAAGTATTTGTTTAATGAACTAAAGTTCTCAAAAATTGTGGTTGATATATCAATATCTATTAACAAACCACATATGAAATGAAAATAATATACATATGTATTAACCGCGGTTATTAAAAACCTTTACCAAAATTGCGGTTATGTGTTCTAATATCGTAACATAATCTAAATTGTTCTTAGCTACTATTGTTGTTAAAAAAAGGTGAATTCAATTGTTTGATATGTTATGACTATTTTCGTCATTTTGATAAAAATGCTGTTACAGGTACACTTTACTATATAAAAAATATATTTATACATATGAATATAAGCTCTGAACCAGTAAAATGATGTCAATAATTGAAAGATAACCTTACATCGTTAGATATCAAATTTAATTACAGTAATAGTAAAATCGATCCTTGCTTATTTTATACCATACCTACATATAACGAGTTGATGAAAATCAAACCATAACGAAATTTAATGACGAAAAAGATATCGATCTTTTTATTAGGACAACTTTGTTTCAAGTCACGTTTACTTTGATTGACTTTGTGTAATGGAATAATTCTTAAATGTTATGAATCAAGTCATCAATAATCCTTAATGTCATGATTTTAAAGACGACGAGTCTGGTCAACTATTAAAATACCTAGAGCTAGAAATATATTTACAATCCATCGTAGTAGTCACGTCCAAATAAAACCATATTCTTATATTTTATTCGTTACATATATTCTTTATTTAACTAACATTTGTGACCAAATGTAATAAGTCATATGTAATATTTTTGCTATTAAGTCAGGGCTACAAATGAATTTAATCATTTCTATCCTAACGAGTTAGTGATTTGTTAGTTGTCTTGTTTCTAGTCACGTTTGAGTTAGCGCCATTCGTTTTAGTATGTTATTCTTTTGACTGATTAGAAATATTTTGTCTAATTTAATGAACTACATTTAAAAACACCATCAACATTTTAGTAAAATTGTTTACTATAAGAACTTAGTATGTATATATTTTTAAGTTTTATTATATTTTATTCTATTCCTACAGATTTTTTTATTAAATTAAATAAAATACATTTCCTATAAGATCGCATGATATATTTAAAACTCTAACTCCTATAACGAAATCGTAAGCTGCTATTTGGACACATGTCGTGACTCCCTGACCGTTTATAAACGTGAAACTATTAATTTGCACGACAAATAATATCAGAGCATTTAAGAAAAAGAAAATTGTATTTGTATACGTGTGCATATGAACTTTTGACCAATTGCAGCCCAAAAATGAGTGAGATGTTATAATAACGCTTCTTATTATACATTTAAAATTACAAAAAATCTAAAAATAAGTTAAGAAAATGGGATTTCAAATAGTTAAAATATGTGATAAAGATTACACATGTTCTTCAAAGACAAATGGGAATTAAAAGAGTTGGATTAATTGTAAAGAAATAAATAATACTAATCGAATGGAATAGAATGGTTTCCAAGGAGAAGTACATAATAGAATTTATAGTAATTGGTTTGCTTGTCTAAAATGGAAAGACTATGTTTAGTTTTACTAAAATTTTGCAATATAAATATGAAGAAACAGTGTAGAAAAATATCATTTATTCACAAAACAATATTCTAACTTATATTCATAAATTTTAGACACCTCAAGAAATTCGACTTGAAAGAATTTTTAATGAATTAGTCTTTCTTAGTTATTCATCGCCATGAATATTATACTTCTTTATGACCAATAAATGTCGCAAAAGCCCAAATTAAAGGTAAAGGTAATCAAAGGTAACATTAAAAAAGTCACAGACCATCATTTGTCCTATTCAGACGATAACGATACGATGGCAAAATATTAAATTGATAGATAAAGTAAGTTAGGTACATGATTCATAGAATCTTATAATCATCTAAAGAATAGGCGAGAATTAATACCTATCAATAACGCAATGATAAAGCAATGATAATACCTACCATAAATCAATAATCGAAAATGGTATACTACTCTCGTCCTCGGTTTTACTTGTGACTATGAGTAAGTCTTAAGTATATTCGAGTATATATGAAAAAATTCACTCAGTACTGAGAAGAGAAACAAACAATGAATAACAAGAAATCAGACTTATCCGCCTTTACTGTGTTACCTTAAGGTTAAGCTTTAACCTTATTTTTTCTACAAAAAGAATTCTATGTTTTATGGCAAAATAAGTAGCAAATATACCCACACATAAAGTCACAATACACATCCACACAAACTTCCGCATTGATTACATGGCCTCAGTTATTTAGGATGTTTGTAAGAAAATTGGGCCACGCCGTTTCGTTTGATCAAACCGTTTTAACGAGATCTTGAGAAAAATCAATTTTTTAAAATGCTGTAAGACAATAGCTATTGATTCTATTAGTATGCATCACACCATAGAGAATATAGACTAACACAATTATGTACTTCACCTATTGTACATACACCATTTAGTCGAGGATACTGAAAAGAAGTTAACTACATAATTATAATCACTAATATTGAATGTTCCACAAATGTATATCAATGAAATTTTGTTAGTAATTGACGTCACGGCTTATGAATCCAGATACTTGGGAATTTGGCTTATATGAAGAATAAAGATTGTCGGAGAAACAGACTATAGGTTCACACTTTTAGAAAAGTTTGCCTCAGAAAGCATTAATTATTAGCTAAGCAGTTGCGAAAAGCTGAGAAATATACAGTATAACTAAACTCATCACACACACGCAAAAAGAACCTTGCACCAAATAACGTTACTTAAAGGATAGTTCGGATATGACAAATTAATCTAAGCATATATTTTTATCAAAGTTATTTGTATTTAACTATTTTTAAATAAAGAAATGTTCAAGTTTGCATCGACACACAACACACGAAGTGTTTCCTTTTCTCATTGAATAAACCTTATAAATAGTATAATATAAAAAAAATTCTAGACTTAAAACAAATTGTGAAACTAAAGAAATCGTGATTTAGTATCTTTGAATTTTCTAAAGAATTAGCAATAGATAATTGACTTGACACTAAGTAGCTGATTGTGTGAACAATGTTCCTTTCACAGTAAATCTGCCTGGGATTAGTC